ATTCTGGTACAATTCCGGCCATGAGGATATTTTGGGGTAGTCAGCTATCTAGATGGGTCGTACGGGTCGGTCGCGACCACGAGTCTCTACCGTGGAGATCCTGGATACCTTGATTAACTCGTTACTCGTACCAAACACTTATCTAAGGTTAATTCCCATCTATCTGTCCGTATCTACAAGACTATTATGTCCGTATAGTTAATACTTTTTTTGGCCTCTAATCCCACAAAATGACGCCGTTATTAGTTTAGCGACGTTCGAATTAGGAAGATGCATCACTTCTACTCTCGTACCTGGGTACTGTTAGAGGTGTGCACACTAATTGGTGATTTACCGGTAGTTATTTCGCACAAACTCTCGCGCATTTACAGACTACCTGTGTGATTATACATATCCGGAGTAGATACCTAGATAATACGCCAACCCATCTTGCTCGGCCACTTGTAAGGGCGTTACTTTGGCCAGACAGATAGAGTGGCCCAGCATGACGGCCGAGCAATAGGGGAAGACACGCTACGCGCTCCCATCTGGACCAATGACAGTGGCTGTTATTTAGTCCCCATCAGTCAGCCTCTACTGTTCGATTACCTCACGCTCTTTCCTCTCCGCCCCGCTCCCCATCCTTGCCCCCACCCTACCGTCCATGTTGAAGCGTTTCTGTTGAGCTCTGTCTGTGGACATGTCCTCACCTTGCCATGTGTCCTGTTACGCGGTCACCCATCCCCAGCGCAGCGGCCGACTCGACTCGGTCCCGAGAACCCCGCATTGTTCCAGACACTCGAGATACCCCCTTTGCTCACTTTCCATGGTCCAGGACAAACCACTGTGATAGGGTCGTCTTTCCCGTGTAGAACAGCGAGATATCTTTGCGCTGCACTGCCTATACTACACTACACTACACTACACTACACTACACTGCACCGCACTACACTGCACCGCACTACGCGTACCTACGAGCTGTCATCGCCATCACACATTTAGCTTTTAGCTTTATTAGTGCACTCCGCATAATACCTATCTACACATGTCACACGCCCCTGGCGCTTCGCTGCTGCTGGCTTAGTCCCGTAGCTGCGTTGGTCCACCGCCTACCCCGGCCTGTTGCCTTTCCTCCATCTTTCAATCTTCGTGTCTGTGTCTTGTCTTGTCTGTGCCTGCGTCTGTGGTGTCTGTGTGTCTCTCCGGCTCGGGACCGACCCAAAGGCACTGAACTGCTCTCAGCTTTCAGAGGTCTCAGTTGTCTCAGTGGTCTCAGTGGTCCCAGTGGTCTCAGTGTTCGAGGATGCCCGAAACCCCAGAGTCTCATCACTCCGGCGACGGCTCGGCTTATAACCACCCTACTCCGACCGGCGCGTCCATCCCAAATACCCCACCGGATCCCGACGTCGCGCTCGTCAAGGTCACCCGTGGCCATAGCTGCGTCTTGTGCCAGCAGCGCAAGGTAAGATGTGACAAGAAAAAGCCATGCTCCAATTGCGTCAAAGCCGGCGTCGACTGCCGTGTTGTGCCACCACAACCTCCGAGGCGAAGGAAGAAGCGCATTGCCGAGCGCGATCTTGTCGAACGCCTTAGAAAGTACGAGGCCTTACTGTCTCAGAACGGTATTCCCTTTGAAGCTCTAGGCCCCGACATCAAGATCACCGAGCCTGGGTCTGTCGAGGAGGGCGATGAGCTGGACCCACACTTTACCAGACAGAAGGCCAAGGCCGCCCCTACCCATACCGATCCCGATATCATCTCATCACCCGGCGAGGACCTTCACAGACCACGGTAAGTAGTAGGCTTTTGAAGCCAATCTTTTTTTGCAATTTCTTGCCATATCCTGCCTTATCCTGCAATTTCCTGCAATTCATTCAGTGTTGCATTTGTCACGCGTGCTAACGGGAATAATGCTGCCTACAGCACTTTCAAATGGTTCCCTTTCCAGAAACATGTACGCCCCACGTCCTTTTTTTTTTTTTTTTTTTTTTTGGTGTTTTTTGTTTTCCTCCCTTAGTTACCACTTTGTCTCATGTGAATCTTAGTACCGCGCGCATACCGATTCACCCCAAGATTCTTCCGAAGAGGAAGACGTCGGGTCAACCATCAACTACGCTTTCGACAAAATGTTCAACAATACCGATGGCTTCCCCTTTTCAATTGGCAGTCAATACCAGCCTGTCACCGATTTACACCCGTCCGGTGTGCAGATCTTCCAATTATGGCAGATATATCTCGACAACGTCAATCCCATTCTCAAACTCACTCATACAGCCACATTGCAAGTTCAGATCATCGACGCGTCGGCAAATCTGACCAAGGTTTCTCAAAGTCTCGAGGCGCTGATGTTTGCAATCTATCTCATGGCCATCACAAGTCTTACCGATGACGAAGTGATGCAAACATTCAATGCGCCCAAACCCAGCCTGCTGGCCAAATATCAGCATGGCACGCAGCAAGCCTTGTTCAATGCAGGGTTCATGCGCATGCCAGATCTGACAGTTTTGCAGGCCTACTTATTATATTGTGTAAGTTGCGTACTCCGTTGCTTGGCCGTCTTCTAATCCTAACCAGTACCAGTTTGGCGTCAGGCAACATACGGATCCTCGGTCTCTATTCTGTTTAACCGGGATAGCCGTCCGTCTGGCCCAACGCCTCGGCCTACAGCGAGACGGCGCCGAATTCGGCTTCTCGCCATTCGAGGTAGAGGAGAGGAGGAGGCTTTGGTGGAACATTGCTAGCTTCGATAGACGCTTGGGAGAGATGTGTGGATCAACCATCACTGCCATTTCGACCGGCGGCAACTGCAAGCTACCGCTTAACATAAACGACGCTGACTTGAATGTGCATGCGAAAGACGCGCCTACGCCTCATATTGGCGCTACCGAAATGATATTTGCTCTGGCGCGACTTGAGTTTGCCAAGGCACCTGGCAACGACAAGATGAGAGCCCAATTATCTGCGGCCAATCCACAAGCGGTGCAAAATCTAGCCGACCACCGTTTGCCTAGCTACCTCGATCAATTCGCGCATTATATCGAGGAGACATATCTGAAGTACTGTGACCCGAAAATCCCTATTCATTATATGACACTCCTCATGACGCGGGCCAGCCTCTGCAAGCTGAAGATATTTTCCGGCTTCTTTAGGGTTGCCCTCACTGCCCCCCAGCCCCTGCCCCCTGCTGACAGTGAGGCTATCATAGTCGAGGCTATACAGATGATAGAGTATGACAGTATGATCCAGGCGCACGAAGGCCTAAAGGGCTTTCTCTGGTACTCGAAAATGAACTTCCCTTTCCCGGCGTATGTCTACCTCTTGACTGAACTCCAGCATCGCACGACAGGCGATCTGTGCGAGCGTTCGTGGGAAACCATTTTCGAACATGCAGAACGACGACGCATGACTACGGCCACACAAACCCCGCTGCATCTCGCTTTCAGCTCACTCTTCGTCAAAGCCTGGGACGCCAGAGAGGCCGCCGAGGCCGCGAATGGTCGAACTATCGCTCCGCCAAGACTCATTAGCGTGATGAGACAGATTGACCTTCAAAAGCCCAAGAAGTCCAAGGACAAGAAGACACCGTTGTCGACACCGTCACCGCAGGTTTCAGGAGCCAACGGTGCTGTCTTTGCTTCAGCGCCTCAATCAGCGCCGATACCGGTACCCCAGCCTGCATCAGCATCTAGGATAGCGAACGTACCCAACTCTACGATGTATCCTCCCCAAGACATGTTTGGCCACATGCAGCCTGTGGACATCAACCGACAAATGTCTCTAGTGTTTCCGGAGCTCAATTTCGGCGGTGAGATGGACTGGGATTACCTAATTCATGAGTACGGCGGATACATGCCTCAGCCGCTGCCTCAGCAGCAGGCTATGCAAGGCTTTGGCATGCCGCCAGGCCCCGTATTGCAAAACCCGCAACAGGCCGGATCCTGGCGGTGATGAATACCTCTTCTATATATCTATATATACCTATGTACTATCGTGGCTAAACAACTCGAGTTATATGTATGAGCTTATTATTATGATTATTATTACGATCATGAAAGGGGAGTTGGCGACTTGAGCGGGGCTCAATTGAACATACTTATTATGTACGATCACGGGAATTATGCTGTGCAGAAAATCAAGCTCTCGATTATTTGCTAATAGTGTCTTTATACCGTTTGTAGTGAAGTGAATGAAGGCTGGCGTGATTACCCCGACCGATAAGATAAGCATGCGAAGACGTGTAAGAGACGGTTGTGAAAGGGGATCTCGTAGGGCATGCCCTGAGTCTTGGTTACAGTAATACCCGAGCCTCAAGGAGAAAGAAGATAAACCCCGGGGAGTGATAACGGGCGGGCCCGATAGGAGGTGGAAGGGAGGCATAAAATCGGAAAGAAAGAGGGGGGGGGGAGAGAGGAAACGGGTATGTTAGAAGCCATGCACGGTGTTTGTTAAAAAAAAAAAAAAAAAAAAAAGCAAAAGGAAAAGGAGTGTGATATTCCTGGAAGACCCAAAGAAAAGAAAAAAAAAAAATGTTGATTTCACCGAATAGGAGATTCGAACTCCTGGCTCAAGAACACTCCTTTTCGCGGACGAAAGAAAGGATGAGAATCTTGAATGTTAACCCCTACACCAATTCGGTTTTATCTGTCACTTTTGTGGTTGGGAAGTTACCGGGCATATCTCGGTATATATACCTACTACGGGTAATCTGGTAGAAGGGAGATGGAAGGAACGGATAGGACGGGTTGGAAGGAGTCATGTTGATACCTCCTGAGAACAAACAGTACATACATACAAGGCGCGGATGGATCTACGAGGGGAAAGGAAAGTAAAACTAGATTTTGAGGAATGGAAGCAAAGAAATTTGAATCAAGAGCAGAGAAATAGGAGATAGGAAAGAAAAAAAAAGCATTATCAGACTTAAGAATATATATATATATATATATATATGTCTAGTGAGAAGGCCATTGAATGATCTTAGGGACTCGAGCCGAAAAAGAAAAAAAAAAAAAAAAAGTTAATTCCACCGAATAGGAGATTCGAACTCCTGGCTCAAGAGCACTCTCCATTTTTCGCGGACGAAAGAAAGGATGAGAATCTTGAATGTTAACCCCTACACCAATTCGGTTCTATCTGTTGGGAAAGACTGTAGCGTATACCGGTATACTAAGCCCAGGCAAGAGGAAAGATGGCTGGAGGGAAGAAAGTAAAGCCGGCAGGTGGCAAAAAAGAAAGGGGGAGGAAGTCGCGACTTGATCCGTCTGCTTGTAGGCAGTGCTTTCCTTGCTGGTAGGTGTGACTGTCGTCCTCCTGCTACGTCATATTACGTGCTGCCATGTTAAAACTACGAGGAAGTCGCGAATAACGCTCCTCAGGGGGTGGTAGTTTCACGTCGTTAGGGAGGTAGGCAGGTTCTATATGATACGGGGTCCAGGGACAGATAGTAAATAAAGTGAGGATAATAACTTGTGGGAACTGGGCATCGTGATGGGCTACAGCGAGTGAGTGCAACTTGATAATAAACTACTGCAAACACGGAATTATTTGTTACTGTTCATCATATCAGGATCTTTTCAACGCCTTTTTGTTGTAGAGCACAGTCAAAGAAGGTAAGAAGTTAGGCCATGGCATTACGCATAAACACTATAAACCGCCTTATGGGATTCTAGAAAAAAAAATCACATATGTCATGATCTTTATATGCCAATACAGATGATACATTCATATTGGCTTTGAAAGCGGCTGAACCGTTGGGATGAATTGCGAGAACCGTAAGGCACCCACAACACCTCCATCAGTGATGCGTGGGATGGAGCAGAGAGTTGAACCGCAGCCGTCGAATATTCAGAGTGTTGGTAATGGCCTCGGACAGCTTGATATATCCTTATGCTATTATAGTATGTACATTGAGGCAGGCTCCCGATGTCCCTGTGCCTTTGTGGCGCGTGAGCTTTACAATCTATATATATTCAAAACCATAAAATGAAAAAAGGAAAAGTCACGAGAGATAGGTGAAAGGCGCTGTAGGGGTCTCGTAGTTTCTCGGCGCCATTGACGCCAACCACTCGCTCTGAAACTCGTCCGGTAGCATGTCCATGAAGTTGCTAAAGTCGCTGATACCGTCTACGGGTGGGCCAATTGGAGGATTGCTATTAGCAGGAGCTGTCGTCGTTACCATGAAGTTTGATGAGGTGGCAGAATATCCTTGATCTATGCCCACCATTGTGTCAGCGCCGAGGAATGGCGCGCCTGTGTTCATATCATATAGAAATTCTTGTCCGTGGACCAGCATTTTGCCGGCCCCTGAGCTCCCTAGATTCGGTTGTGTCGGAGCCTGTGCCTTTTTCTGCCGCTCTGCCTGCTGTGCTTCCCGCACACGCCGAGCCCTCACCAGGAGCCGATTCATAGGCTTGGTGAAATAGTCCCCACGCTCAGTACTGTTCCGGACTTTAACGCTCAGCCATTGGTCGTAGATATCTGTTGCGTATTTCCACGCTTCGTCACACTGCGGAGAAGGCGGCCGTATACAAACCTCCCATAGCATGAGAGCCAATGTTTGCCACTGGACGACGGTGTATGATTGCCAAGCCCAACGCTGGAGATCGGGATCATGCATGATGTCGCTCGTACGCTTGGAGGCGGCGATTGCGGCAGTGAAAAGCCAGTCCCGTAGAGTTTTGCCATCCGGTTCGGTGTGAGAGCTGCCGTCGCTCGGGCTCGGTGCCTCGGCATTCGCATCGCCGCCAACGGTATGGAATTCCGTGGCTTCTCCCCTTCGTTTGCGGGACACTAGCTCGGAATAGTATGCCACCGCCCGTACTCGTCCCGATGACACGTAGGCGATATGTCTTGCAAGCCGTTGTACCGGTTGAGACGGATCAAATCGTTCTACGTACTTTTCGATCCACTTGTCGTGCTCTTCAAGAAGTCGGAGGCGGACCTGAAAAGGAGAACGGCTTTGTCTGGGGACGGGGTTAGCGTAGCGTAGAGCCAACACGCGAGTAAAAAAAAAAGCTAATATGAAATAGAGAAGAGGGTTGATCGGAATAGGTGGGCGTTAACAAAGTAATCACTCACCGTATTATCTTCCAGATTAGTTCCAGTGCCACACATCGAACATGAGTAAATGACAGGTCGGTAGGGCCGTCACTTTCCGGTGGTAGTTCGGCCATGTCGGGAGAGAGATCGGAATCATTCACATTGAGCGGGAAGCGAGTATCGAAGACAGTGTCGCTAGGCAGGTTGGGCTCATAGCCGTGATATTCGGTCGAACGATAATCAAGTATGATGATGCTGGCCCATATGCGACGGCGCATCTCCGTCTCGAAAGGGGAAAGGTTGAACGCCGTCCCATCCCGGTGTAGGCCCATCGAGCGCGCAATGTGGGAGACAAGGGCTATGAGCGAGAATACGGTGCGTGTGCCATCGTCTGTCCGCAATACCGTGACGTATATCACGGCAGCGCGCAAGAGCAGCGTGCTCTTGGTGCTCAAGAAGTTGGCTCGTGCCAGTGCTTGTTCCACCGCGAACCTGTACCGTTCGACCAGAGTAGATCGCGGCTCGCCTACGATTTCGGAACATTGGGCCGAGTCTAAGCTGATGACAGCAGAGTAGTAGATAGCGAACAGAAGTGCCTCTGTCTCTTTGTCAAGGGCGTCCGGTTTTAACACAGCCTCCCAGAATATGCGTGTCAGGGTCGGTTTATGGAACATGTAAGCTATTGGTAAAACATTATCACAGAAAATCTGAAAGAGCTTCATAGACAAGTCGATCGGGGGATGGAAGTCCCGCAGAGAGTGGACAAGGGACCGGTACCCTAGAAGGGCTGCGTTTGAACCTAAGGATTCTGGCGGCGGGGATTCGCCTTCATGAAATGGAATACTTTCATCGAGCTGACTTGCATCTTCTCCGGTGTCGTTATCAAGGAACATCCCACGCAGTTGATCGATCTCTATGGTATCAGTCCAAAAAGCCCCATTGGCAGTGTCGAGGTGTGTGAAAGACTAACCGACTCGGTCAGGTCTGCCCACATTACGTTACTAACGTAAAGGCTTTCAGACTCTTCAACAACAAGACGGCCTATTTCCGGAGACACTGCGCTCCCTTGGCCCGAGTCATCAATCAAAAAGCCTTGGCTGTCGCGAGCTTTTGCTTGTGAGTGCCCTGGTGACGCATGTCGCGGTGCGGGTTCATGGGTTAGATGAGAGCTCCCCGTCCGACTGGTTGATTGCTGCTGTAGATGCTTGATAGTTGCCTCCAACTGGGCCAGGCGATTCAGGACTCTGTCATCAACCATCTGGCGTGGTCGCTTCGCTGCCCTTCCGGCACCCGGCGGATGGACGCAGTTGGCGCCAGCTCTCACGCAATTTGAACATGGCTGTCGGCGATCGCATTTGACCTTGCGCTGCCTACACAGAATACAGCTCCGGAGATGGGCGGGTTGGTTGAAGTTGGAGCCGGTTACAGTACTAGACTCAGGCGCCGCCTCGGGGCTACTAGCCATGGCCAAGATCTAGATAAGTAGGTATACTATGTAAGATGTTAGCTTACTTTTTAGTAGTGTAAGTACTTGCGTATAGGTAGGCGAGGTAGTGTGTAGGTACGTAGTGCCAGTGTAGATGCCTCAAAAAAAAAAAAAAAAAACAAATCATGAGTCAAGCTTGAGCAGGTGGTTTGTAACCTCATAAACGTGATGTGATCAAACACTGAGAAGCAAAGACCGTTGACCAATTGCGTATGCAATAAGTGATTACATCTACTCTAGGGGGTCCACGCATGAAAACTCTCTTCATTAAGCGGAACTTTGTTCGGCTCCGCGATGTTCGGTCCCTTCGGATATCGGATGGTGACCTATGACGAGCACCGCTGATCGAACGGTAGGGTACGTTAAGCAAAAACCATAAACACGTTCATCACGGATAATGTTAAATACTTCCCGTAAAAAAAAACCCAGAACCAGCTCAGCTTAAATGAACACAAACGGGCAGAAAATAACAAATCTCCGTTCACCTTCCGTTCATATGGTACCTTATCTCCGGGTTCAACGGAACGAAAAAGAAAAAAAAAGAAAATAAATAATTAGGTCTCCCTGGGAATCGAACCCAGATTAGCGGAATCAGAATCCGCTGTGATAACCATTACACTAGGAAACCCGACGAGTAAGTGAGAAGCATGCCAGGATATCGCGCAATTAAACCAAGTGCCGAAGCTGATACCTAGGCAAATTAGGTAGGTTGCTTTCTACATAGGATGCTTTTGATTATTGTGTGATTGATTGAAATATCATGAGCTAATGATAGTTAATACGCATTGCATCCGAAAAAAAGATTGGGAACGGACGGGAGAAGGAAGATACCTACGCAACCGGCGAAATCTCAGATTCATTCTGCACGGGTGACCGGAATGACTTCGTAACCTGGCTAACTAGGTTACTTAGGTATGCACAGTATGCATGTAAAGGATATCTATATCTTGATAGCTGCATGATATACCTCTCTATCGAGTTAATGGTACGTCATTTGTGCGCCAATCAGATTCTCCCAAGACAACCTAATGGATCCCCCATCATCAGTTCAGCAAACAACTGTCTTTCAACACCTCAAGTCCAACTTCGAAAATAACACCATGACAACGAGAGCATCCACCCTAGGATCCTCAATCATAAAACGGGCGTTAAACCTAACCTGGACACATTCATACCAACGGAACAACATAATGACCAGTGATGTTTCTCAGCGGCCCTTCCGCTTCGGGCCATTCGATGTCACAACCCAGGTAAGTGAGTATGAAGTCAAGCCAGATTGGAAAAGAAACAATCAATCCATATGTACACCAATTCGAATAGACAAGAGAGGAAGCATTGTGATTTAGAGGAGGAAAGGCCAAAAAAAAAAAAGGGGGGGGGGCCAGGAAAAGAAGAATAGCTTCGTTGCTCTGAGCCCAGCATACCCAACACACTCACAATTCACAATTCACAATTCACATATACCAAGAAAGAGAGAGAAAAGACAAAACGAAAAAGACTCACAAATGCCAAAAGGTATTCCTAACAACCCCCCACTCCTTCGCCCTCGTAAACCTCAAGCCGCTACTACCGGGCCACGTCCTAGTGTGTCCGCAAGTCCAGCA